AAAAAAAAAAAAAAAAAAAAAGATGGGGGGCTGGGGAAAGAAAACATCTAATTTTAATGTAACACTAATCCCAAAGGCAGTAGGTACAGCTGTTTGGTTTTGGTTGTTTAGCTCAGCTGTTTTATTCTGAGAAAAGCACAGCTGCCTTTTGATGTTGTCTGTTATTCAAGACTGTTCTTTAGGGGAGTTAAATGTATGAGCGAGCGCTCACAGACCACTGGTGGGTTCAGTTTCCGCTCTTGCTACAGAGCCATTTCTTCGCGTCATTCTTCACGTTTCAACATTGGCTAATGCAAGTTCCTTCCCTTGCCCCCTTACCCTCCAGAATTCTGCTCCAGAAAGCAGCATTGCCAGGGCAAAGGTAAATGAGAACTTTCTTTTACATGGCTGGACAATTTTTGAGAACCTTTTCAGATTTAAAATGATATATCTTTATGATATTAGGAAATGATTAATTTTCCAGGTACAAAAACTGTGTCATGGATCATGTTTTATTTTATTTTTTTAAGAGTAATCGTAATCTTCAAGCAATGCTACTGAAACAATTACAAATGAAATATCTGAGATTGACTTTAAGACAGTCAAGGGATTATTCCTTCAAGGAGTGGGAAAAAAAGAAGGAGGTAAATTTCAGGTTGGCTGTGAGTTGACACTTGTGAAAGCTAGCTGAATGATGAGTGTTTATTATACTGTTCTCTTTCATATTTGTTTGCAAATTTCCTAATCAAAGGGTTTTTTAAATAATCAGTTAAAACAACAGAAATGCTTATATCCCTTGACTCCTCAGTTTCACATCTGGAGATCTTTCCTACAGAAATACTCATCCACATGCACATACTTATGTACAAGATGTTTCCTATGACATTGCTTAGAGTCACCAATAATTGGAAACTCTATCCATGTCCAGCAATGAGGGAGTGGTTAAAATTAAGAGCAATTCATTCAACTACTGGTTTTTCTGACATCCTGCCCTAACTTACAGTTAGTTGATACAGGATAATGTTAATAAAAGTTAGAAGATACTGCTTGTAAAAATACTGAATGACCTTCCCACAAGGGAATACCAAACTGAATGGAAGTCTGGCCTTCACTGAGTGAGAACTAAACACAAGCCAAGCCCCAGGAAGGGGAGTAAATCAACTCCGTGGCAATCCTCTGGATACCCAAGCCAATGATCCTGATGACTCAGAACAAGATCAAACGAGGTGAGGTCACCATTTCCTGTCTCAGGAAGTCTCTTGGAAGGGGAGGAGACAGGTCTGTGGCAGGTAGACAAGATCAAAGGCCTGTGAACATCCCCTGCTTTCCCTTTATTATCGTCTCCCCTTCAGGTACAATCTCAAGGAATGTACGTGTCATTCTGTTCCTACACTGACTAGTATTACTTGGCAAGGATGCAGTTTTTTTCAAGTCAGTGGACAAAGCACTCCCTTGAGGACCATCCAAGCTGCGGGGTCTGCTCCTATCCAGGACAGCTCCGATCTCCCGCTGCTTCTCCAAGGCACAGCCAGGACCCATGCTTCCCTCTCTGAGCAGATTCGTCCTCTTACCATCATTTCCTCAGGGCTCACCTGCTGCACCTGGTGGGGCCCATGCATGCTGCACTGGGGACGGACTCCTGCCCCCAAGGGAGCCCAGGAAGCACCCTAGATGAGCTCAAAGTCACCTCTGATGGTGTCCTGTACTTACAGTGAGTCTCCTGACTCTTGAGACAAGTATGCTATTGTGGAAAGAGTCAAGGAATTGAAATCAGAACTCTGAGCTCTGTCTCTTACTAACTATGTCACCATGAAGAAAAACAAGCCAGCTAACCTTGATGAGTATGATTTTCCCCATCTATAAAACTGGTGTAACACTAAGCACATTATACGGGACTACAGTAAGGTAGTTAATGAGTTACAGGACCTAAGACAGGGCGTAGTCCCTGTTAGTTAAGTCTGACAAACCATGTGGTCTTCAACACACTCTTTGTGACCACCAAACACCTGACCCCAGGTTCATTTTGACCACTTTCCAAAAACTAGTCTCTTTTTGCTTTCAGCAATTGTCAGGTCTCCTGGTCACCTTCAGTCATGTCATCTTTGATTCACTACAGCCTATTGTCAAGTATCATGGCTGCACCACAAAGAGTGCTGTAGAGGAGTAGCAACAAAAAGCTGTTTATTTTTTCAAAAAAGAAAGGCCGTCACTTTGCTTTTTGTTAGCCTTCCACCCAGGGAGACCTGAGACACACATTGGGTCCCCACGTGTTCCAGCTCTTCCGGCCTCAGCTCTGGATGGTCACTGACCCAGGGAATAAGCCCCTTGTCAAGGTCTAGCCATCACTGGCCAGGATTACATTATGACTAACAGGTATATCCAAAATTTATCTCCAGAAGACTAGGTCAATGCTTGCTTTACATTTGTAACTAAAGAAGTCATCGAAAATGGCTTTTTCCAAAAATAAGGAATAACCAGCTCCAAAAATGAACTTAGGTCTTTAACTCTAAAGAGAAAAAGGTTTGCTTGCAGCTTGTTTGTCTATTAACAGTTGATGTAATATTTGACGTGGCAAGATTTAGGTCCTCCACCATTTCACCATTTGTTGTTTGTCCCCACTTTTTTTTGTTGTTGTTATTCTTGTTGTTGTTCCTCTGTTCCTACACTCCTGCCTTCTTTTTAATTACTTGGAAAAAAGTTTTTTATAAGAATTCTAATTTATTACCATTTGACCCAGCAATTCCACTCTTAGGAATTTACCCAAAGAAAACAAGATCCCTGATTCAAAAAGACATATGCACCCCTGCATTTATCACAGCACTATTTACAATAGCCAAGATACAGAAACAACCTAAGTGTCCATCAGTAGATGAATGGATCAAGAAGATGTGGTACATATACACAATGGAATATTATTCAGCCATAAGAAGAAAACAAATCCTACTATTTGCAACAACATGGATGGAGCTAGAGGGTATTATGCTCAGTGAAATAAACCAGGCAGAGAAAGACAAGTACCAAATGATTTCTCTCATTTGTAGAGTATAACAACAAAGCAAAACTGAAGGAACAAAACAGCAGCAGACTCACAGACTCCAAGAAGGGACTAGCAGTTACTGAAGGGCAGGGGTTGGGGAGGGTGGCTGGGGAGGGAGAAGGGGATTAAGGGGATTAAGGGGAATACATAATGTAGGTGGGTCATGGGGAAGGCAGTATAGCACAGAGAAGACAAGTAATAACTCTGTAGCATCTTACTACCCTCATGGACGGTGACTGCAAGCAGGAGGTGAGGACTTGATAATATGGGTGAATGTTGAAAACACAATGTTGTTTATGTGAAACCTTCATAAGATTGTATATTGATACTTTAATAAAAAAATAATAATTCTAATTTATCTGTTGGCTTTTCAAGTACATCTCTTTGTATTTTCTTACTGATTACTCTAGGGATTACAGTATACATCTTTAACTTATTACAATCCAGAATTAACATTGTTCTTCTTTGTGTAAAATACAGAAATCTTGCAATCATTTAAGTTCATTTACCACCACCTTGCTTTTTGCTATAGTTGTCAAATGTATTCTAAGCCCCACAAGATAATGTGATCATTTTTTGCTTTAAACACTTATAAAAAATTTAAATTTACAGGGAAAAAAATAACATTTATAAACTATCTCTAATTTCCTTAAAGGAAAATATTCTTAGTAAATTGCCTAGAAGATCTAAGCACTTTTTATCTAACATGTCACAATATTCAGCTCCTTCTTATTACTTATTGCCCCCAAGGAACTGGCTTTATTTTTAATTTTTAGTTTTTTAGCCCTGAACTTATCTGATGCCATTCTAGGATTATAAACACTTAAAAAAACAAAAACAAAGCAAAACATAAGACAAAATCTCCCCCATTTGTTTTACTTCTGGCCAAAATATTAGCATTGCCAGTAATTTCATAATAATCATACTTTCTAGGCAAGAAACTCAACACATCTTTCAACAAATAAGTGCATCATATTCTGATAGGTAAGCCTTGGGGCTAGTGGGAGGTTGGGGGGAAATCTCTGAACTTCTATTGGCCCTTTCAATTTTATAATAATCTTGTTTGGTGGCTATTTTTTACAGTGAACAAGGTAGCATTCAAGACATCCAGAGCATATCTCCAAGGACACTACAGTTAAAAATGTAGCTGATTGGAACTTTTGTTTATTGTAAAAGTTAGGAAACATTGTGGGGAATCAGGCTGAGGCGCTTTTATCTTCCCAGCCCCTATTACAATGACGACACGTGGCAAAGTCTCCGCTTCCGCACCACCTCCAGTAAGCTCCTGCGGCCCTCGTGGCTACATCACCGGGGGCTGACAGCTCCATAATTCACCTGCAGGACAGCGAGTGGGAGTGCATTTGGGACCCAGAAGCAATTAAAATTCAAAGAGGAATCAGTAGCATTTCCAACTAAACTTACCTTTGCAAAGGCATTTGTGTTGGATGGAAAATTGTCCCGGTTATTTTGGCTTTGTTCTGCGTCATTTTTAAGAGAGAGAGGAAGAAAACTTTCTCTGGAGAAGTAAAGAAATTGTAATCTTCTGGCAAAGAAATGTATCCAATCATCGTCATAGTCTTCTTCTCCAACAAGTCTTCTAAGGTTAGAACAGGGTAGTCCTGGCCCCCTCACTTCCTACAGCCTTAGGAAATAAAACAAAGACAGATACAATTTACAATTTACACTCTCCACCCCCAAGAATTTAGAATATTAATGATCATGGTTTTATTTTTGGGAGAGTCATTTCTTTATCTTAAACCTTAAGGCTCGAATGGTGTTGTTTAATAAAAGATAATTTCTTGAAAAGAAAAGTTCCATACCCCTTCACCCACAAAGAAAATTAGCACTATTTACTGTGCTTTCCTTTAGGTATCTTAGCAGATAGATTTAGAACAAGAATAAGCTAATTCACAGTAGTACAGTGGTGATTAATCAGTTTTAAATTATTTTCAGTTGTGACTTAGATAAAGTTTCCTATCTAAACACAGAGTGTATTATTTTCTTTGCTCATTTTTGGGTCCAAGAAGAATAAATATCACTTCGTAAGTTTTATCTTCGTATCTTTCAAGTATGTAAAAAACTGATGTACTTAACCAGGTAACTTCACTGAAATCCAAATGATTTCAAAGGTGGCCTTGAATCCCATTATGAAATTCCAGTATTTCCATTATCCAGCAGAACAATATTGTCAAATACTGCAGTTTATAATAATCAAACTTTAAAATGCTCTTATGCTCATTTCAAGGCATTTCCTTCTGTAACACAAAACAATAGCTTTTATAATTTCTGGTGAGAATTCATGACCACTGTCGAACATTTTTTACTTAGATTTAGATCACCGTACTTTTTTTAGTCTAACATACCTAGGATTTCTTCTATCTTTATGAGGTATTTTTACAGATTCCTTTATTTAGTCAACACATATTTATTAAGCATTTACTATGTGCCAATCCCAGCACAGAAAACTCAGAAACAGAGAAAAATGATTCTTCCCTATACTTTTCTTTTTTTTCAGGAATATATAACATCTTGTACAAATCTGTACAATATAAACCACAGACCCGGATATTAGCGCCTTGACGCAGATTGCTTTCAACCCCTTTGTATAATAAAGACCGTGCAGATATTATACCTAACTCCTTCTAAACCCACCCTTCTTCTGTTTTCTTTTGAACTGTTTGCTGGACTTCGTGCGAGAAGTCCATGAGCCTCTTCTCATCCAATCTACCAAAGGTGGGCACGCTCAGTTACGCAGCCGAGCTGATTGTTCTTCTTTTCTTTTTCCTTCTGCATCTGCATTTTTTTAATCAAAATTATGTACAGATTGTTTAAAAGGTCAAGTACTTCTACCAAGCTTTTTTCATGAAAAATCCATAATCCCACTTAGCTTCCTTCCTTCCTTTAGCCATTTTCCCGCTCCAGAGGCATCCACACTCAGCTATTTCAGCCAAACTCCATATTTGCCTTCATATTTCTATATAACACATTGCCATTGCCATCTCTTCGGTTGTACAATTTTTTGTTTTACACAGAATTAATAATTGTGTATGTGTGTGTTTTGTGTGTTTGGTTTTCTATACATGGATCTGATTAAACCCCCAAACCTTCGCCCATTGTCTAAAGCAGGGATCAGCAGACTTTTTCTATGAGAGACACAGGTCGTAAATATTCAGGCTTTGTGGTTCCCATAGTTTCTGCTGAATTTTTTTTTTCCCCAACCCTTTAATAATGTGAAGAAAAAAGAAAAGAAAAAACCCTTTGTAGCTCACAGGCAAGAAAAAAAATCAGGCCTTAGGCTGAGTTTGGACTTCAGGCTCTCTTTTGCCAACCCCTGGCCTAAATCTCCTTGAAAGACAGTCAGGTGCATTGTCTTCCAAATTCATAATCGTGAAGAAGATTCTCCCAGTGACGTTTACCTTACTCTAACCTGGATAGTTGCTATGTCTAGTGTTCAGCTGTCATCCTTTGCTCTCATCTCACCTTATCCTGGGGATCCCCTTCACCTCTCTGTGCAGGGTCCCCTTTCCATTATCCCATGTCTTTCTCTTTCTTCTTCGTTTTGGTTAAGTGCAGACTTCATTCAGTAGCTTTCCGAGAGGTAACAAAGTCACATGTTTGAGACCTTGCATGTCACACAAAGTCTTTATTCTTCCTTCATACTTGATTGATAATGTGGTGGGGTATAAAATTCTAGATTAAAAATTCTTTTTCTTTAGAATTCTAAAGGCATTTCTCCACTGTCTTCTAGACGCCAGTGTGGCTGATGACAAGTCTGATGCAACTCAGCCTGACATTTTTTCTCCCCCCTGGGGGTTTTAGGAACCTCTTTGCGATCCCAGGGTTTGAAATTTCATTCTGGTACTTTAGGGTATCCCCAAAGCCCATCACTCCTGAAATTCATGTCCTTTGGTTCTAAGGAATTTTCTTGAATTATTGTCTTAATTTCTCTCCCTACCCCTGTCTTTTCCATTCTCTTTCTGGAACTTCGATTTAGATGTGGACCCTTAGATTGGAACTGATTTACTTATCTTCTTTTGCACCTCTGTGTTTGTGTTTGCTCTTTCATTTCTGTTCTGGTATGTTCTATTTTAACTTTTTCTTCTGCATGATATTTAGGGCATCCTGTTTATTTCACAGCTGTAGTATCTTTTTTACAGCTCTGAGGCTACTAAAAATAGTTACCTTTTTGTTTTTTAGTATTTTACCCACCTTATATAGTTTTTTCTCAAAATTGCTTTTTTTCTGTGGTATCTCTTTCATATTAGATGGTTTCCTCAGATCTCTGGTTAATTCTTGGTTGTCTGTTAATATTGAATAGTGAGGGACCAAAGACTGGAAGCTCTGAGCATGTGTGTGAGGCTAATTAATTATCTGTGAGTTTCTCTGTGAGGGGCCTGGAGAATTTGGGATTTTCAGTACATTTAGATCTTTCCTTAGGTTGGCAGCCTCCTGCCTGAAGGATAAAGGCCTGTCTCCAGCATTCTGGGAACCAAATGTGGAAGAGAAGTAGGTTCCAGCAACCAACATGCACCTTCATTCAATACTCCTACTTTCTGTTTGGCATTCTTGGCCTTCAGCTGGGCCCACTGCCTACTAATTTTCTTTTTTTTTTTTCCTGTCTTAACCCTCTCCAGGGAATAAGCATATAATCCTCCATTCTTCTACTGGGGAGTAGCTCCTTCTTCCCAATTCACAGTGTGCCTATTGGAGTAGCAGCAGAGGGTGGGGGTGAGGAGAGACTTAGGGACTGAACAGCTTCCTAGACAAATTGTTGTCATATTTTAGCTTCACTTCCACAAGTATTTGATGCTACAAAATCCTGAAATCTGGGATTTTTGTGGAGGTTAGAATTAGGTTAGTTCCTGGTTTTCTCCACTATTTCTGTAGGATGTAGCTTTTTCAGTTCTGCTCCGATTGCTGCCTTTTCCATCTAGCTCTTTCCAGCTCCCACAAGCTTACGGTGTCGCTATTTTCCTGTTCTCATCAGAGGTTTATGCATTGGAGGAAAAAGGCCCTTCTTTTTAGCGGGGTTTTAGGAGGCTGCAAAACTAGATGCATGTGATCTACTGTTTTTACCTAGAAGTCTGTCTGTATGAACTTCTTAGTTTCCTATTCAATTTCTTTCATATACTGTCATTCAGATGTCTTCAGCTGCCAAATAGCTTTAAGTTTTTACCTTCATACTCAATAATATAACCTTTCTATAACCCCAAATGCTTTCATGGGGTGATATGCACTGAGTTAGAAAGATATAATAAAGATAGCTGAATTATAATAAAAAACAGAAAAATTCTGAGTTTTCATGTAACAAACTCAGTCACACAGCTATCTTGTGACTTGTTTTTTTCTTGATAGTCATTGTTAAAACAAATATTAAGTAATTGCCAGGTTTTGTCACCTGTAACTCTGGTACGAGTAAAAAATGTTTTCTTAATTAGTAAGGCTCCTATTGATTAGTTTAACACTGCAGTGAAGAATATAACCAAAGATGGAATTTGGTTAACTTCAAAGTAGAGACCAGATTTAGTATGGAGAATAAAGCACTTCTTTGTTGTTTGACCATAGTTAATCCAAAGAGCTCTGGTGGGCTTAGCTGCAGATAACACAAGAAATCCAGCTAGATTTTGAAGAACATTTTTATGTAGGCAGGGCAGATTGTGCTTCTTTAACCATTCTCTAATTGGATGCCATGAAGCAGTACACTTAACACAAGTTGCAAGGTAAGGATGGAATGACAAAATGAAGCAAAACAAAAAACAAGATTAACTTGGGGGTGAGGGTAGGGAGAAAACTAACTGGAGATGGTCAAAACCCAGATTATTACTAACTTGAAATCAAACCACATACTTGTATTCTGGCTAATTGCAACCTGGTGTATTACTTACCAGGTTGAGCTGGGGTAGCATGTTTACCAAGAGGCTGGTCAGAATATGTTTGAACCCAGATATTCACGTAATGATCAGTAAGTAAATTATCTGCAACTTTGAAAAATGTATTAGGCATAGTTGTCTAAAATAACTTTTCCTTGAAAACTCATAAGGCCTTACCTGTTTGCTCACAATACAGTGACAGTTTCACCACCACACTTCTTATCAAAAACATACCACCAATGCTCAATCAACAGTGCAACAGGGAGAGGAAAGAAACTTGGTGAACATTGATTCAATGGCTGCAGTGCTAATGCCAGTGCAGACAGCACCATAAAGTTACTTTTTGATATGTTTTACCAATCAGTAAGAGCAGGAGTACAAAGGTCTTCTAAGAAGTAGTGTTTCCTCCAAGGAGTTGACAATCTGAGGAAGAAGAACATGTACGGTAGAAGTCAGAAAATAATTCAAATGCTAAAGTTTTATAATGTCTCTAAGCACAAAAGAAGTTCCAGTGAGTGTAGCTAACAAAAACTTTGGGTCTGCACTGAGCTTTGGCAGACAAGGATTTGAACTCTAGGTGGCAAGAAGGGAAAAAAGAGCAACCTACAAAAGGGTTTACAAAAGGTTTCAAGAGGGAAAGAGAACTGGGAACAGTTATGATCTGTCATCTGTGGCGTAAAATGGTTATTTAAGGCTTAGGAAGCTGAATACAATTAAGTGCTGAGAACCAAGGTAAGAGTGAAGGTTTCTACTCACAAGAAAACTTAATTCATACAATTAACACAACAGAATACTCAAAAACACCTGTTAGTAGGTATCTGGCGTTGTCTTTGCTTCAAAAAGCCTGTAACCTTGTTTTCTATGTCACTTTCTAGAAATAGATTTAAGCCAAAGAAATTATGAAGTTTTTCCCCCAGTGAAGGAATAAAAAGTTCTTGCTAGGGAATGAATTCTGTAGTATTCTTGAGCTAGGTATTACTTGAATGACAGGGAATGAGGCTGGATAAACTTATGATGCCAAACTATGTAACTACAGTTTTCACTTTAGCTCTGACATCAGGGACTTTTACATTTCTTGAAAATATATGGCAGTGATACTGATTCTTTCAAATTTTCTAAAAATAAACTTTTCTAGAAGTTCGATTTGAGGTACTGCAGAGTTCCCACATACCCAACTCCCAGTGTCCCATTACATTACCTACATTACTATTACAACTTGTCATAATTAAATATTGATAACATTAATAAATTCATACTTTATTGACTTGCTCAGCTTTTCCTTACTGTCTTTTCTGTTCCAGAATCCCATTTGTTTACATTTTTAGCCCATCTTCTTAGCTTCTCTTGACAGCTCAGGCGTTTTTTTCATGTCTGACAGTTTGTAGATGTCCCTCATTTGGGATTTGTGTGATGGTGTTTCTCATGGTTAGACTGAAGTTTTTAGGAGGAAGACCAGAGAGGCAAAGTGCCATTTTCTGTTTTCTTCACATCAAATCAAGCATGTACTATCAACATATCAACATGACTTGTCACTGTTGATGTGGACCTGATCACCTGGCTGAGGCCATCTGGAAGGTTTCTGCACTGTAGCTTCTCTCCCTCCCTGCCCGGCCATATCGTACTCTTTGGAGGAAGTCATTTTGTGCAATCCACACTTGGCGGGTGGCAAGTTATGCTCTACCTGAGAGTGGAGTACCTACAAATATTGGGATTCTGATTTGTCTCTTCTGCTACTCAATCATTAGTGTGGATTCACGGGTCTGTATTTTATACTTTGGGTTATAATCCAATCCTACATTACTGTGACATACCCCCACCATTGTGGGATTTTCAAAACCTCTTTGTCCCTGTAAGATGCTCTAGGCTCATTCTGTGTATTTTTTTATCAGCCCTAGAATTGGCCATTATCTCCAAGGATCCCCAGTTTTTATTGGAGAATGGTATTTTCGAAACCAGTATCTAGGCCTTAGGTGTGCTTGTTGTCACTGGAAAAATGAACTTTCAGTGTTTTCTTTGAAAAAGTAAATGTTAAAAACCCAGTTCTTGTTTTACCTCTGACAGTAAACAGCATATGCAAGTTTATAGTGTTTTCCACCAGTATCTTGAAAAGGTTAACGCAGCACGTTGACTAGTGACCAGAAAAAAACCCACATTCATGAATTATGCCTCTTTATATTTCCAATCATATTTTGAGAACAAATCTTTTGTCTTAAATATAGGTATTGGCTCAATGTGGGAACTGGCTTTTTATTAATTGCCTTGATAAGAGAGACCCTTTTAAAAAGTTTTCAGAAAAGACTCTGCTAATTGTTTTTGCTATTGTAGTAGGTGAAGAAGGCAGGCACAGCATGAATCTTTTAGGCACTTTTTATTTTCCAAAAAGAATTGTCGTTAATATATAAACATCTCATTGTCTCAAAAAATTCTACAACTATACAGCTGTTTGCTCCATTATTTGCATAGGAAATGACCACAATACAAAAATAAGAGGGGAAAAGAAGCCAAACAGCAACCGATTTATGCTTTTCATGTAGGTATGTTTCCACGTATAAACATTTTGAAGCCTCTTACAAAATATTTACACCGTTTATCTATTTACATGTTTTAAGAGCAACTTTGCTAACAAACAAAACTATAATTTATCAAGTTATGAAAATTTTCTAAAAAAACTTACTATATTACCACAAAATAAATAAAGATAAACAATATTTTAAAAACAAAATTAAATTTTCATTTCAATTAAGACCCCTTTTGGCATTTTGCTTATTTATTCTGCCCTTTGGTTAACAGCATCACATTACTATTTTATATTGCATATATGTAGCATGTTTTTCTTAAGTTTTCAACATGTCATTTATAATTAAAGGCAGACACTGAGTCAGTATTAACAATGATTAACTAAACTGCACTGTAATTTAGGTAAAATTACTGTGTCTCACTGTATATTACATGCAAAATCCACATAAACTGGCACTTAACCAACAGTACCACACGAGCAAACATCTCGGTATATGAAAACCGTATCATAAATTCAACGTTTCCGTATATGAAAACTGCATCATAAATTCAACATTGCCATATGTGAAAACTATGTTAAGTCCTTCTTTTTAAAAATCATACTGTATTTAGCTTATTGTAAGAGGTTTAACTTTTGTATATTGTAACTATCTTTAAGCTCTTTAAGTTCACAATTCATATAAAATGTCTTTCATAATTAAAATAAACAATCCTATTTGAATCAGTGCACAAAATCTGCATTTAAGTTCATTTGAATGATTACTTCTTCCTTCTAAAGAAATGAATTTGTTATAAGATTTTAAGAGGTATCTTACCACAAATTCTAACTGCAAATGTATTCATGGTTATTTTCAAAAGAAATCATGATTTTTCCCCAAAAGAATCTTAGAAAACTTGTAATAAACCTATAAAGCTGATTTGCATATTTACAAAATTTTGAATAGCAAATATAGGCAACTCATATAAAAAAAAACACATTTGTTCAATGGCTTATTTGGAATTGCCAGTTACACTGCATACCTCTAAGGAATATCTAATATTGAAAAAAGTACTCCATGTCAAGGAAAATCTTGACACACTTCCTGTGCCTGCCAACTGACTGGTTTACCAAACACTGTCACATTAAATGATGGTGCTTAGGCAGAAACACTGCAACACCCTCTGCACCCCAACTCCCTACCCACGCTGAGATGTGGCTGCCTGTCATGAGATGAAAACTTCTCGAGTAAAGCCATGTACATTACAGCAAGCATTCCAGATTCTTAAAAGGACCAAATACTTTGGTATTCATACAATGTATTTCCCTGTTTTCTCAAATATACAAAATATACACTTCCAGTTTTTTGTTTTTTTTTTCTCTTTTATATGTATTGTTAAGTTTGTAGTTAGAATTTGCCAGATGGACTGCAGGATGGCAGCGTGAGCCACCCAGGCACGGCAGGCCCGCGGCGGCACGCTCAGTTCTGGTGTCTCTTCATGTGCAGGGCCAGGTGGTCGGAGCGCGAGAAGCTGCGGTTGCACACCCCACACTGGAAGGGCTTGGCCCCGGTGTGCTTCCGGTAGTGGCGGGTCAGCTCGTCTGAGCGCGCGAACCTCCAGTCGCAGCCTTCCCAGGTGCACTTGTAGGGCTTTTCACCTGTGCCAACGAAGGAAAGGAGGTGAGGGGGTCGGCTTGCAAGCAATCATCGCAGATACTGCCTGAGAAGGAACTTTTTAAAAAAATCAGAGTCCAGGAGAACCCAAGTTCATGAGTACCATCCTGAACTAAGTTTTCTGCAAAGTAATCCAGTGATGCGAGTCACTGCTTCAGGGTGCTATTTAACCTAATTATAGAAGAAAAAAATGTATTTTGTGTACCTTCAAAGAACGGGAAAATGGCAATTTTAGACCTGTGAGATTAATCAGTGGTCTGAGTTCTATGTACTGCTCCTGCACAAATCATCCATGAAATGACTAGAGGAGCCTAGGCAGCCCTATCACTACTGTGCAAATAGAATCTACCCCTGACAAACCCAAATTAAGTTAGTACAGGGCTGATGGCTCTAAGATGGCCAAGAAAAAATGGGGGAGCTACTCAAATCACCAATATGATGAATTCAGTGTACCAGGGTTGCGATCCTTTACTTCAAACTTATCTTAAATGTTTCTAAATTAAGTGGACTAAAAATCCAACAAAAAGTTCACTTGAACTACAGCCTTGAAGGTGGACTGTAAAGATACTTCCTCTCTGAAATTCACTCACATAGGTACATTCACACCTTCCTTTTTTTCTGATTATAAAGCTAAAAAAAACATATTAAAGCTGAATGGTGTTAAACATTTACACATTTGATATTTAATAAATTCCTCAACCAGATCACAAAACCTTCACTTTGAAGAAGAGTCATAAAACTATCATAGTAATTCTAACATTTGCAGGTATTATGTACTTCATTTTCCTTGTAATGCATTGCAGCAAAAAACATTACCAAATTACATGAATGTCTTCCCAAGTGTCTTACTATATGCCAGGCACTCACAGTTCCGAATGCATTGGTATACAACTGCCAACAAGACAATGCTTGGACTCATGGAACTTACATGTGTAACATGTATTTTTTAAAGTCTTGTTCAATCTTACGATTGTCACATTGCTCTTCATTTAAACAGTGAGTAAGCTGTCCCCCCACTGTAATTTTTATTTTTCTTAATGTCTTGTCAGGTTTGCTGGTTGTTAATCTTTTAAAAACTACTTATATTTACGATGCAGTCTTAATTCCTTGTTTCAGAATTAATCCTGTTTGAGATCATGTATTCTCCTAAATAAATACCCAAACCTAAGAGCCTTTCTTTTCACTGAGCATTCTAGTAGTTCCTGTATTTACACTTCATTTTGTTGTAATTTCCTATGAGTTTGTGAAAGATGAGAGTTTGTGAGATACATTTACATATTAAAGTACTGCTGGTTTACTGCTGAGTTTTAGATGGATACTCTTAAATTCCCTAAAAAATGTTTTCTTCTGAAAGGAAGAACCTCAGAGCTGCTTTGAACACAAGTTACTTAGTACACCACGATGAAATTCAACAACCTTTCTGCCTGATTTAGCAGTATCATATTCAGGAAGTTGTAAGATTACTCAACTGAGTCCAAATTTTAAAAGACATTGTCCACATCAACAGATTTCTACAGCTTGTGGTTAATATACTTTGCTGTCCTGATAACCACTCTGACCCTTAAATAAAAATCCTGTAAGGAAAAGAAGGGCCAGAATAGCCCTTTGAAATTTGTACCAATTTTTTCCCATGAGATTTTTCTTTCAACTCCTATGGTATGCATCCCCCAGCCGCCTTTTCTTTCTCCTTTCCTGACTCTGAACCAAGACACACATTTTATTTTCTTCAACCCCTTTCTGGTTCCTATCACTCTATTTTAAAAATGCACATCTCAATTCAAACTGTTTTTACCCACAGTAAAATGTAATTTCAGCTAATACATTCTAACCTTTTATGTACCATAACCACCATTTTTCTTCCACTTAAGATTCACATATAAACTGTTTTCTACATAGAAATGTTTTCACACCAGTAGTAAATGTAGCTACCGCTCTTGAAGATGTAAACCAAATAGAAAAAAATGAACTTCTTGTGTTTTTGTTCCTTGTGAAAAATAAATCACAAAAGCAAACACGTTGGTTAAATAACTTTGCTGTCATTTAATGGAAAGAGAAAGTTATTGCTAATGTCTGCGGCAAGGAAAAAAATTTCTGAAGTGCCCCCAATTTTTAAAGAAATCACTCTAGTCTTTTGAATTTATTAATCAAGTATCAAGAGAACTGCATTTTCAGGGTTTATTTAAGAAACAAGGGACACTAGACTCTTTTTTTGTTCACTATTTTTATTGGCTATGAAGCAATAAACTACACCAATATTTTTTAAAGTTTACTTTACTGATTGGTTGGAAAACGGTAGCCCTTCAAGTTCCTAAAACATTTGAGGTTTTGCTTTCAATTTATGCACATCCATAGATTATTCAGCCAAGAATACTACCAGTGTCTGTGGCATTAGTTATGGGGCCAAGTCTTTACTATAAAAGCAAGGACAACTAGGCCCCACTTGGGGCAGTTTCTATGGGACTTGTTAAAGTGTCAACACCATTCAAGTAAAACACTGTAGAGGAAGCTGGTACCCAATTTCTGGCCAATGAGTAGATTTGGGCCTTTCTTCCTCAGCCAGAAACACTATGCACAGTACTTCTGGGAAACCAAACTGACTTCCTTTAAGTTATTTCAACAGGATAGAGCTTTCAAAAGTTTAATTGGATTTTTATAGAATCTCTTTCCAATACCACCAATTTAAAATATTTAGTTAAACTCTTTCAACACCAACTGTATTCTTAAGTTCTCATGCTGTTAATGTGAAACTTTCCAAAGGCAGAAAGAAAAAAGCGACAAGTTTGAACGGCATGGAAAACAAACTTCCACTTTATCTCAAATAAGTGTGCATTTTCTAATTCTATTTTTGAATTACTAGAACTATTTCGCTAAGAGCCCCTAATCTTTTTTTAAAAATGTCATGTTAAATATAAATAGTATCCATACTGATGAAGCTAATTAATGAATTTTATTAAAATGTTAAGCAAAAGTAATATTAGTAAAAGGAGGGAGCAGGTACAAACCATCCACTGAACACACTCAACCAGGAACTTCTAATTATTTCACTTAATCCTCACAGTGGCTCTGAGAAGCCAGGCGATGAGCTCCACTTTAAGAATCCTGGCCTGCCACTTTTCCTTAATGTTCCACTTAAATCCTCCATTAGCAAATACTATATGAATGATTTAAGGAACACATATTGTTCAAATTTATTTAAAGATTCTAAAGCCACTTGTGAAGGTCAGTTAAGGGTAATGGACTCGGGCAGGCCTTCAAAGCCCAGACTGCCTCAAGCACAGGGCTTACCCTGGCTGAACCAGCCCTGGCAGAGACCCACCTTTCAGGACCCTGAAACTGTTCCATGTTGGTAATCACAATCCCCAGGTATCACCTAATGATGGTTCTCTTCACCCCAGGCTAAATCAATTTCAGTAAGCTAGCAGAACATGTTTATAGGATATTCAAAAGATCTTTAGTGATGAACTAAAAACTTATTTTACCCATTTTTTAAATCTGATGAACAGATAAAAGATGACTTTTGAATGTACCACAACAGAATGAGGTTACTTATTCAATCCTCATACCAAGGCCTTTCCCTACAATGTTCTACACAGATTCTTCTAGCAAAATAAAATCATAGATGGAAATATTTATCTTAGAATGTTATTTTAGGTGAGTTTTAAAAACTTTATTACAGAAGATTTACACATCTGGTTTCCTTCTTGATGACTAAAAGACAGATAATCCAACTATCTGATAGAGGCTAAAAAAAACATCAGAATTAAAGTCAAATGTTTAGTAAGCAAGGTGTATCATGTACTAAATCTAAATGACTTGGAAAACACAACAAATAAAATTTGGTCTTTGGCTTCAAAGAACTTCAAATCCATATCCTGGGAACCCAAATGATGCAAACTGTTGAAGTAGAATAAATTACTTCAATAGCTAGTATTTAATCTCAATTCTTAGAATTTAAGAGTTCTTGAAGGTCAAAATGAGCTCTTATTTCAGGAGGAATTAGTTTTTTTTCTTCCATCACTATAGACTTGGGTAATTTAGAATGTGAAACAGTCTACATATTATAATGAAAGGTAAAAAAAGTAATCTTTAATCTCCAGATTTAAAAAATTCAGAGAAATGTTAGTAATCTAAAAAAACAAGGTAAATAATAGAGTAGGATGACTTGGGATCATTCATCTATTCAATTAATTTTCCATTTAAAACATCTTTTTATTAAGGCTCATGATAGCATGTCTCCTACACTGGAAACAGAATAGCAGGGCAGCTCATTTCAAAGATTAGTAACTATTTGCAAAATGCATCTAGTATTACTAGATGTAATACCCCTGTACTATACCTACTTTAAGGAAATTGATTAACTAAAAGGATATATGTAAATATAAAAGAAATTCCCTTCTTTCTCTCCATCAGTCAATATGTTAATTTGTGTTTATCCCTTTTTTTAAATCTGCTTCACCTTATCACTTTCAGAAAACGTCTTAACAGTCCAGGAGAAATCATTTCACATCTGTGTATCCCCATCACCACTTAATTTTGCACGACCAATTTGCACTTACATTTATACTGCTGTTAAGTATGGAGGCTTCAAACAGCTGTATTTTGCCTCCTTACTACTTTGAAAGTTCACCAGGGGCACAGACTGCCTTCTATTCCAGATATAATGCTGGGAAGCATTTTTCATAATGCATCTTAGGAACAATCATGTTTGCACCAGCCCCAAGTCAGACCAACTCTGTTTTCATTAATGAAAAGGAGGGAGGGGATGAGAGAGCGAAATGCGTCTAGCATGAGTCTATCAGACTGTCCCCAGTTTTCCAGTGGCCCCTGCTGCAGCAGGGCTGTGCTGGGTTTCCATCTGCCTAGGGCCACTCGGATGATCTGACAGAAGGTTGGCCTGGGTGAAAACCATGCTTTTTGCTTCCTCAGGAGGCTATGTTCAGTACCAGTTTATTACTCATCATTAAGTCGTACAAGGATAAACTAT